CAACCCTCTGCGAGTGAAAACGGAGCTTGTGAGGGATGCACATGGAGCTCTGTTTTCACTGGCAGAGTGCTCAGGCCAACACAGGTGCCCCCAACACAAGTGACGTTGAGCTGGCCACGCCTACCCTGGCCATGTCCACCCAGCCCCTGAGGTCAAACACAACCCTGATGCAGCCATCAACAAAATCGAGTGTGACACCCCAGTCTACATCTTCTATTGAAATGTATATTTAAAAATTTGTTGATTGGGGGTGTCTCAGGGAGGGTGAAAAAAAAATTAAAACTGTGTTTGTGGCCATGCAGTCAAAGTCCTGCCCAGTTTGGTATGCATACATTTAAAAAGGGAGGAGGAACTTCGTCTGCACTATGGCGACACCATCTTGACTTAGTTAATTCTCCCATGGACTCCCTTGACGTCGATAGGACTTTCCTTATAAACTTTTATCATAAATACCGGGTATATGTTAAACTAGTTTGTATATTAAATATTAATAAACTAGTTCCAGAATGTACAGTAAGAAGCAAGTGCGTGAAAAAAGATGGAAATTCATAAAGTAATAAGTAGGAACCCTTGGGTCCTCAAACATGGTCCTCCCTGATCTTAGTCCAACGCCTAACTCACTTCACCCCCTTCCTATGAGCTCTTGGCTTTTACTGCAAGAACCATATATCACCAAGTGTTTAGCATTTTAATATCAAAAGTACATATTCATTTATCAAGTGTTCCTATTTCTATCGCTGTTATCGCTTGTTGGCATCCGGTCACTGTGTTAGTAGAAAGTTGTCTCAGATCGGAGGAATTCAAAACTCCTGGACCACAATTCTTCCCTCTCCCCGCCTCCCTCCCAACTTGGATTTGTTTAATCTGTCACTTTTTAAAGAGGGTCTCATCTCCTACACATATAATCCCTCAGAATCAGTGACCTCTCTAAGGCTACTCCCAAAGGATGTGATCCTTCTGCCTGTGAAAATGTTAGTCGGGCTCAGAGAGGAAGGTCTTGGCTGACAGCCGTCACCTTCCTATAATTCATGGGCCACTATTACTCATTCGTTACGTTATACGTATTTAGCACGATAAACTCTCAAGATGCTTTTTTCTTTTTTTGTACAATCAGGACAACACTGTGTGTCTGTGTGCACATGCACATCCGTGATCTATCTGTTTTAGAAAAGGAAGTATTTGTGGCCCATCCAAGGAGGTAGTAACATATATTCCTGTGGCAGAGATTCTGTGATATCTTTTAATAATCTCTTTGTTGTTCTTAGTATACTAATGAATTCATTGGTAAAGCAGTTTCTATTGATAAGTACAAAATATGATAGATTTTTTTCTTCTTCTGTAGTTTGCATTTTTCGTCTGTACTTTTAATTTTTAAAGGTTCTTATTTAAAGATAAAAATCATTTTGCTTCATGATAAAGAAGCTTCATAATGAAAAATAAGAGCAACAGGACATTGTATCTGAATGCAAAAAGTACCAATATATACTGAATTAGTTAGATTGAATAAACTTTAATATCTCAAAACAAAACTTTTTTTAAAACCTTCTCTCACCTGACCGCCATGTGATCTGCACTTTAATTGTTTTCTTGTATAAGCTTTTCTGAAAAAGGAAGCAACTAATACAGGTAGTCTTCCATTTACAACTATTTGAGCCTGGTGATGTAGTGGTTAGAGTGCAGTACTGCAGGTTACTTCTGCTGTCTGCCAGCTGCCTGCAATTTGGCAGTTCTAATCTCACCAGGCTCAAGGTTGACTCAGCCTTTCATCCTTGCGCGGTGGATAAAATGAGGAGCTAGATTGTTGGGGGCAATATGCTGACTCTGTAAACCGAGAGGGCTGTAAAGCACTGTAAAGCAGTATATAAGTCTAAGTGCTATTGCTATTTGATTTACAACCAGTTGAAAAAAGTGACTTATGATTGATGCTTTTAGTTGCAACCATTGCAGGATCCCCATGGTCATGTGATCAAAATTCAGGCTCTTAGCGATCGGCATGTACTTATGATAGTTGCATGTCCCAGGGTCATGATCCCCATTTGTGATGATCCCAGCTAGCTTCCACAAGCAAAGTCAATGAGGGCAGCTAAATTTGCTTAATGACCATGTGATTCTCTTAGCAACTGCAGTAATTCCTTTAACAACCATGGCAAAAAAGGTCATAATATCAGGTGTGTCTCACTTAGCAACCACTTTGCTTAGCGATGGAAATTCTGCCCCCAATTGTGGTTGTGAGTCGAGACCTACTTGTATAATAAGGGTGGTCCTCAACTTACAACAATTTGTTTAGTGACTGTTCAAAGTTACAACGGCCCTAAAAAATGTGACTTACATGACCATTTTTCATAGTTATGACCTTTGCAGCATCCCCATGATCATGTGATCAGAATTCAGGTGCTTGGCCTGAATATTTAAGACCATTGCTGTGTCTCAAGGTCATGTAATCACTTTTTGTGACCTTCTCACAAGGAAATTTAATGTGGAAATCAGGTTCATTTAACAACCAGGTTGCTAACTTATCAACTGCAGTTATTCACTTAATCACTGTGGCAAGTGATTGGCAAGAAAAGTTGTAAAATGGGACAAAATTCAATAAATATCTCACTTGACAACAGAAATGTTGGGCTCATTTGTGGTCTTAAACTAAGGACTCTACCTTGAAATGTTAGTCAGCCTAGCAAGAAATCCTTCATCTCGTTCAGAGGTTTTCCTCCCATTTTATTAAACAATCTCTTCATGTGGTGAGGATGTACAAAAAAAATAAAATAAAAATTGGATCAGCTAATTCTGCGCTGTGGAATAATGGCATTCTTCCAGCACGATACGATCAGAGAATTAATTAGGAATATTGAAGGGTAAACAGTATCGACCTATACCAGGCATTCTATAATGAGGTGCTTTTGCTCAGTATGTATTCAAAAGTTTCTCTCCCCCTTTCCATACTTGGCATTAAGAGAAGAATTTATCTTCACTTGAATTTATGTAAGTCTCCTTCCATCCTTGCCTCCTTTTGTAGTTATGTCTTTGTGTCTGGGCAGAGGAAGTGGGAGAGGGAAGCTAGACTGTTGGCTATTATGTCTTCTTACTCCTTGATTCTTTTACTCACAGGAATGTCAGCTAAGTTCATGGTCAGTTGCTTCAGGATGGGAGAAGACCCTGCCTCTGTCTTATAACCATCAGATTGTTATGGCTGAACCAGTGAGGAAAAGTCTGGGGCCCCCAGGCTGGAAAATCTCCAAATTCATCACAAGATTTTTATTTCAAAAATTGAAACAAACTCTCTTGGCTTCCTGTTCTTACTCCTCTTTCCAAGAAATGATGAAGGCTGTCTGAGGGGAAGATACAGACTGGGAAGAAGAAATATTTAGAATGTCCAAATATGTCTTTTATGATGACCAGTTGCTGAACTTCACTCCAGGCCTAAAAGCACCCCGCTCCCCGTCTCCGCTGAGATGTGGTAAAATTGAATGGGGTTGGCATATCTACATTTAATTTTTCTGTAGCAAAAGAAGCAAGAGAAGTTATAATACCTCCAGCAGCTGTACAGTTAAATGTTAACTTTAAAAAAAAAATAGTGCAAAGGAAATGATAAATTGCTCTGGATCCTATTCTAGGCCACATAGTGATTTAAGAAACATTCTTCGAAACAAGTAAAATAAAATAGATTTGTTCTGTTCACTTCTGCAAAGCGGCTGGTTTAGGCTGAAAAAAAAAATGAAATGAATAGCAGCACAATTGATTTTGGTTAGACTCCTTGCTGAAATAATTAAAAGTTTTATTAAATAGGGGGGGAGAGAAAGAGAAAAAAAAATCTGGAACCACTGTTGGTATAAACCAACTTTCCCTCAAACTGGTGTCCTCCAGATGTGTTGGACTTCAAGTCCCCTAAATCCCCAGCTTGAATTCATTGCCTCGATGTAATTTATTTTTAAAAAACAAACAAGAATTTGCATAGCATAGACTTTAAAAAATGCTAAGTGCTGAAGGGGTGAAGTGCTAAGGGACATGCAGTAAAACATAAACAGAAAATAAATGACTAGCTTTATATTAGACATATTAAAAATTAAATACAGCTTAAGTTTGTTCCAAATCAAGGTTTAGATAAAGCCACAATAACTGTGGTTTTGTGGTAAATCATTTTTCTGACTCTGGAGATTTTGGATGCTGTGTTGGATGTACAGTTCTGCAAACAATTTTTAAAGTAAAAACAAACATCACTTTTCTTTGAAGCAATTTAATTAAGTTGGATTAGATTTTTAATGTACCTCTTATAAGTTCATATAAGAAATTATGAACTAATAAAATGAGATGTATAATTCTTTGCTTTATATATGAAAGTGACATGTCAATTACAATTGATGAATTGATTTAGTTTCTTCTTCTTCTTCTTCTTCTTCTTCTTCTTCTTCTTCTTCTTCTTCCTCCTCCTCCTCCTCCTCCTCCTCCTCCTCCTCCTCCTCCTCCTCCTCTTCCTCTTCTTCTTCCCCCCTCCACTTTTTCTGATCACCCCCAGAATCAGAATATCTTTTCACTTTAGTACTCTATCAATTGAAGTATCTAACCGGAGTGTCACACACACAGTCCTGCCAGGAGCTCAGACAGAGAGGTCTGTATGGAGAAGTTTGGTATGCTGTTTAGGATAAATACTTCAAAATCCACAGGACTCCTGATTGGAATGAAGCCATTATCTTCAGTAGAAGCTGAAAGCAAGCTGCAAATGTTTTGTATCTTTTTACAGTGATTTTTTTTTACACTAGTTGTAGTCATTAACTATATACGCTGTGGAACATGGATCAATAATGTTTGAAGGTGGAGGGATGCAACTTGGCTCCTTCAATTTAGAGGGTTATAGGATCCCTGATGATATTTTTTCGGGGGTGGGAACATTTTTTTAGCCTGATTTTTGCATTTAAGGAGACTTAAAGGTGAGAATGATTTTTGGTACCAGGATGGCCAAAATGTTGTGGTGTGGTTTTTATTTTATTTTTTACCTTTTGGGGGGAGAAAGAGGAAAGGCGGGTTCAATGATAAGACTAGAAATGTCAACAGAGGCACTACCTTCTCTTCTGCCCTTCCTTTTTCCTAAATTTTGCCATCAATTTCAGTGGAACAATTCCAGGAGGAAGCCAAACACATTCTGCCTGTGGATCTACTCTGGTTCAGTAGAAGGCAATGCATGGATGAAGTGTGTTTCTGTTTCCAAAGCACAAATCCATCCATTAGAGAGCAGTTAAAGATAACCTGTAGCAAAGATAATTGATTATACCCCTGTTTGTGTGCCCTTTTAAAATTGGCACTATAAACAAGCATGAAAAAAAAAGAACCTTTTTCGTCTGCAGCAATTGAAAAGCACATCTTTTTGACTTGTTAGAGTATTACTGGTCTTCAGCTTCACTTATGTGGGTGCTTTGCAACACAGTATTATCCGGTTCAAACAGTCCAAGTGTGAAATATGGGTAAACCGCATACCAAACTGGTACTAGAGATCCAGCAGCACAATAGTTTAATTACATTGTGGTCGTTTTCAAAGCCTTGAGTGCAAAGTGCTGTGGCTGCTTCCTTTTAGCATGTGGTTTTGGAGACAGGCAGAGGGTGGAATGGAAAACCGCCCAGCGTGCTCCAACAGACATATAATTAAAGCTGATGAGTCATGATTGGACATGTGTTCCAAGGAAGGAACTCCTTGCCTAAGTCTTGAGTTCCTCCAACACCCTCTTTAAGGGAAGGAATTTGGGCTGGTAAATGATTTCCAACCGTTCTCCATTTATTTTGATTGATTTCCCCCGTTTGCATTTGCTCCCAACAGAACAAAAAAGTCCATATTGTCTAGAGAATTTAAGAAGGACTGCAAAGGCATAAGTCTAAATTTCTCGTGGTAAGCTCTCTGATTGACTTTGGGCCGCTTAGCGTTTCTTAAATTAGCCTACCTTGTAGGGCTGTGATAGGGTAAAATGGGAGGGATCCATTTTTATTCATGCAGGGTACGGTGAATATGAACATTACCAAAAATAGCTGCGAAAAAGATTCACTCAAACCCGAGGAAGAATTTGGATAGATGAAGAACTTCCTGTTTAAAGGTAAAGGTTTCCCTCGCACATATGTGCTAGTCGTTCCCAACTCTAGGGGGTGGTACTCATCTCTGTTTCAAAGCCGAAGAGCTAGCACTGTCCGAAGACGTCTCTGTGGTCATGTGTTAGTTTCCCACCAAAGGTGGTCCCTATTTTTCTACTTGCATTTTTTACATGCTTTCAAACTGCTAGGTTGGCAGAAGCTGGGACAAGTAATGGGAGCTCACCCCGCTACGCAGCACTAGGGATTCGAACCGCTGAACTGCCGACCTTTCGATCCACAAGCTCAGCATCTTAGCCACTGAGCCATGATGAAGAACTTCCTGTTTAGGCAACCAGATATAAAGGAAATCTTGCCTCTCTGCTTCTGTCTCTATGGTAATGTTCGTTGGGTTTCTAAACTTATACAGAAACAATGAAAAGGCAATTTTTGACACTGCTTTAGTAAACTATTAAATAATAAAAGAAATAACTATTGACAGGGGTTTTTTTTTCTTTCTGTTTCTGGTTTATTGCTTTCTGTTTTCAATATTTGATTGTGAGCCACCCAGAGTTGGGTTTTAAGATGGCCAGCCTATAAATGTTGTAAATAAATAAGTAAATGGAGGAGGAATTGAGGACGGTATCATTTTTCAAGCTTTTAACTTTGTCTCTCCTATACAGATATTAAGTGAGTGGGGGCCCCTGCCTCTTCCGCAGCCACTGAGCATCTGGCACGCAGCCAGGAGAACAGGAAGAGCCTCAGGGATATGCAAATGCCTCCCTGGATTGTACTGTCTGCCTCAATCTGAATCAGTCCTAGGGACGAAACAGGACCACCCTCAGACAGGGAAGACCAAAGGCTAAAATGGTTCTAGCCCACAGCCAAGAAACTTTATTTGAAGCCCAGAGAGAATGAACCACCCATCAGAGATAAGAGGCTACTCAAGAGATCCATGATCAATTTTCATTCTTTGGAGCATAGACATTTCAGAGCCTGTGTCAATAAATAAATAAATAAATGTTCGTCTTATCTTTTACTTGTTTTACTTTTTGTTGAATTGCTTCTGCTTAGTTCCAAGGCTCTTAGCCTACAACTTCTATCACCCAACGCCAGCATGATTTCAGAGGAAAGGGGAAGTGTAGTACAACCTGGCTGGAGTTGTACTACAACTCTTTTGAAGTTGTGAGTTCTTCCCTCCTTCATTGTGAATAATCACTAGCAGTTTACCAAGAGTTTACAAAGTAAGTCACCCCTGGGCTAAAAATGAAGAGAAAGACGCAGGCCAAATTTCCGGGTTGTACCTGTGGAAATTACTGATTGTGAATCTGCTTTTGAAAATAAAAGGCAAAGAAAAAGCTTCTTCTACTTGAACATGACTTCTGGCAACTGGATGGCCAGCTGGTTTTTCTTGTAAGGATACCAGTGTTGTGACCCAGGCCCAAGTAAGTAGTAGGAAAATCAGTCAGTGAAAAAACAAACAAACTTTATTCGAACAGCTGAGAATTACTTCATTCCCAGTGTCGTTCAACTAAATTAAAGCAAATTCCTCCCAATGCAAATTCCTCAGTCCTATCGCAAACCTTAGTCCAATTAGGCAAACTGTCAAAGGCCTTTCTTGGCAAACGTTCAGAAGTCACAGATACAAAAATAAATATAAGACGTAAATGAAGAAGATGGCGAAGCTACCAACATTGTTTTCTGGCCAAGCCCAAACGCTGTTGCTGGTCTGTTTTAAGCCTTATGGGAGGGGCCAATCATCTCTTGGCCCTACTCCCGAGTTGTCCTCTTTGTTTGAGATGCTCTTGCCTTCTGGCAGCTCTTCTCATGCGTGCATTAGGAACAGGCTCCTCCTGTTTCTCTGCCTCACTCCTATCAGGCTCTGGAGGCTCTGGAGTCCGCACCTCACTCCCCGATGGCCCTGGCCCCATCTCTGCCTCTGACGCAGAGCCTTCATCCGGGCCTTCCCCAGCCTCCAGGAACATGGAGGAAGAACATGGCCCATGTTCTTCCTCAGCCTCATCGCTGTCCAACTCCGCTGCCAGCTCCGCAGGCTGCTGGCGGACCACAACAACCAGTGGCCATCATCTTATTCTGGGATGCATACATTAGGTTATTTAGAGGTTAGTCTGGTTGAATGTGACTGAATCTATCCTCCTATTACCACATATATTACGTTTCATTAGTCACTGGATGTAATGTACTGCCAACAGTTCAGGTCTAAGACTGAGGCCTTCTACTCCTCAGCAGGGGAGCCAGTAGAAATCAAAGGAGAAAGATCCAAGGTCCTGCAGCAATATTTCAAAGCTTGGCAGGAGAATGTTAGACTAGATACCGCAAGACAAGCCTTCATAAAGTGACATGATTATTAGCAGAAGAGATTGCTCAATGACAGCCTGCTTCCAAAGAAGGTTGAGGGGATCCTAAGGATTTGAGATATTTCTTGTCCCATAGCCTACAATCCGCTTGGTCTCCATGTTTCAATTCCATAGTTTTGTAGAGCTTTGACTTTCGCACGTGATCTGGTGGTAAAGAGAACAGCACGTTCAAAGAACTATGCAGAAATCACGAAAGTGGGCCTGCCAAGCAATCTCTCCTCTGATTTTAAAGGCTGGGCAACCTGTCCTATGCTTCTCATGGTAAAAATAACTAGCTTGCCTGTCTGGAGCAAGACTGGGCTGAACCTTCAGGTCTGAGCAGCTAACCAGTGTGAACAACTAGCACTTTATTATTTATTTGGTGGAGGGCATTTTAGTTTTTGCTTTTTTTTTTTTTAATGCAGCATTCCAGAAAATATAATCAGTGGCATGCATCCAGCTCCTACTTTGAAAGCATCAAAGTGGATGCAGCTGTTTGTGTGCCTGGTAGTTGCCAGTTTGATAGTGTGTAATCATATTTGCATAAAGATAAAAAGGAAGGTGTTATAGCACAGAGAAGAGCTTATGGTTTCACCATGCATTAAAGGTAATTTTAGACTAATTAGGTATAATTTGTTAAGGAATTCTTCCTGGCAATCACGACTCTGATTTTGTAATTATAGGACAATGCTTGCTGTGGCTTTCAAAGGCAGGATAAAGCTCCCCCAAGGGGGTCATGTCCCACACTTGGCAGATCTAATGGTGCCACAAAAGACAGGTGTTTTGTCAGATTTCAGCCACACACTTTCGCACCTGCAACACATTAACTGCAACAGTGATGTTAATGAAAACCAGGTGCTTCTTCCATAGTCTAAATGAGGAGTTGGCGCTGATGCTTATAGTTTACTACCTGGAGACTCCCCTATCTCTCTTTGGAGGAGTGTGGGGGAAACTGTCATATATTTTGCATTTCAAAGCTTTGGTACAGGAGGAAGCTCAAATATATAGTGAAGCCTGCTCATCATCACTCTCACTACCATAACTACTACTACTACTACTGCTACTACTACTATTACTTTCTTCTTCTTCTTCTTCTTCTTCTTCTTCTTCTTCTTCTTCTTCTTCTTCTTCTTCTTCTTCTTCTTCTTCTTCTTCTTCTTCTTCTTCTTCTTCT